GCTTTGCGGCATGCTTTAGCCTATTGCGTACGTTTTTTGCTGTCATGTGCAAGGATATGTTTGCAGATTCTGTATTGTACATGACCAATTGACTCACTGTTTGCCGTGGTATATTAAATCAAGACTCTTCCAAAATGCAGCTTTTCCCAAAGCATTGGAAACTTTTAGTAACTCCCCACGCTCCAACTTCTCCCCGATGCTCTGCACGGTCAACTGTCACCTGTATGTTAATGCGTGCGTATATGCGTTGCGTATTGCGTAGGCGATGTATAATATTTATAATATAATCAATATAACAATATTTCATACAGTAGCCTATGTGTGCTCTGCGCGTATTTGGCACAATAAAAGGAGAGAAGCTAAATGAGAAAAAAAATGGCCCGAGCCATTCGGGACCCGACAGGCTTGCAGACCTCTAGCGAGTGGTGGTTGGGAGTCGCAATGCGAATCGCATCCCATCAGGACTGTTCCCTGATGCAGTGGAGTTGAGGAACCAGGAGTGGGCAGTATCACAAGCAGTGTGTCTAGTGTTTATGGCATTGTTCCCTGAGCATTACTGCTCCTTGCTGGGGCTACAGTCTGCACTGGAACGGAAGGTGCTTGTGGATGTAAGTAATGCAGCAGAGATGAATATCCATAGGCTCTCCAATGCGGAACAGCTAGCTGAGCTGTTTCCAAACTGTCTAGTGGTCAAAGGTTTTAACACGGTTTCAACCTGGGAGTTACAGACTGGGGCTCATGATGGAAGCAGACAGGTCAGGGCTGTTGTTGTTTTATCTGTATTTGCTGAAAACAAATACAGGGTTATTTAAAATCTGTAAGTTTCTACCTTTCACTACTGTAGGTTCTGATTTGCAGTAACAGTACAGAGGGGAAGAAGAAAGTTGTCCAGTTGGCTCGGCAGATGGGGTTCCACCCCGTGGATATGGGTGGCTTGTCTGCTGCTCGAGAAATTGAAGTAGCCCCATTGCGCCTATTACCATCTTGGAGTGGCCCGGTTGTTGTCACCTTCCTCCTTTTTCTCTTCTTCTATGGCTATGGTTTCCTGCGGGGAATTTTGCTGCCTTTTCTTGCACAAGGACACAATGCGTTCTACCGTCTTGCCCTTGACCTGCTGAACGAGAGCCTGCCAGTAGTAGCCTTGGTGATCCTGGCACTCGTATACTTCCCAGGATTGTTTGCTGCGTGGTTGCAGCTCTGGAGCGGCACCAAGTACTGACGTTTCCCATCCTGGTTGGACAACTGGTTGCAGCGGAGGAAACAACTGGGCCTGTTGAGGTTCCTTTGTGCAGCGTTGCATGGTGTCTACAGCCTTTGCCTGCCATTGCGCAGAATTACACTGCGCAGTATTGTCAATACTGCCTACAAACAGGTGCGCCAACCTGAGAATATAGATTTTCAAAGGTTTAGTGTGTGACCTGAAGTGCCTCACAACAGTATAGTGTCTGCTGTGTGTTTGTCTGAACATATCAGGTTAAAACAGGTACAGAGGAGCCCTGAGATGAACTGGGTGTTTGGCGATCTGAGCTGTACCTTTCTTGTGGAGTGTTGGGTCTGGGTGTCCTTTCTTTACTGGCCGTATTGCATGGTGTCTACAGCCTTTGCCTGCCATTGCGCAGAATTACACTGCGCAGTATTGTCAATACTGCCTACAAACAGGTGCGCCAACCTGAGAATATAGATTTTCAAAGGTTTAGTGTGTGACCTGAAGTGCCTCACAACAGTAAAGTATAGTGTCTGCTGTGTGTTTGTCTGAACATATCAGGTTAAAACAGGTACAGAGGAGCCCTGAGATGAACTGGGTGTTTGGCGATCTGAGCTGTACCTTTCTTGTGGAGTGTTGGGTCTGGGTGTCCTTTCTTTACTGGCCGTCACTTCCCTACCCTCAGTGGGCAACACTCTCAACTGGAGAGAGTTTATGTTTGTACAGGTGAGGCCTTGCACACCATAGCAGTGTTTCTCAATCCTGTTCCTGGAGGCACACCAACAGCGTTGGTGGACAACAGCGTTTTGGATGTCTCCCTTATCTGGCCCATCCTTTCAGTTCATGGTGTCTCTGCTGAGTTGAATCAGGTGTGTTTGATTAGGAACAGTTCTATGATTTGTACTGTTGGTTTGCGTCCAGGAACAGGGTTGGGAAACACTGCTGTAACACATTAATTACATATAACTACGTTGGCTGGAGCTTTGGTGAACCAGTAGCTACTATGCCTAAACAAATACAGCTAACCCTGCAAGTGCTACCTGCTTCCTGCAGTTCAGTTCAACCATATTCCAACACACCTGCCTGTATTTTTTAAATAACCCTGAACACCTTGATTAGATTGTTCATTGTGTTTGATTGGAGTTGGAGCAAAGCTCTGTAGGAAGGAAGCTTTCCAAGAGCAGAAAAACCTGGGCTGTGTCCGAAATCGCCCCCATACCCTTAAATAGGGCACTATTTGAGGGGACAGCCATTTTTATTGGTGTCTGAAACCATTGTGTACGTTCTCGAGTGCACTCATTCAATCCCACAATGCACCGCAAAAACGAGTGTACAACTGGTGCACGCTCAATGGCTAGAGAATGCCCATAATGCACCGTGAGAGTCAGACGCCGAATGAATTCCCGCATCTCGCCAGAAGATGGCGCTCGCAGCTGAATAATCAATCTGTTCATATTACAAAGTGCTGATCCATAATACAACACAGGTATAAATTGATTATTAAATTGTTTAATTAGGGTTTGTACAGAGTTTCTGTGACAGAGTTCAAGATAAATCCTTTAATTTTACTACTGGAGCTGCTAGTTTCCTTCTGGTGCACTCAGTGTCCAAATTCACTCACTCGTTTTCATTCACTCCTTCTAGTGAACTGAATTAGTGACCTAATGTAGGGAATAGTGAATGAGGTATATAGAGGGCGATTTCGGACACAGCCCTGGAGGACTACTGGTTTAGCTCCAACCCTAATCAAACACACCTGACAAAGCTAATCAAAGTGTTCAGGATAACTTTTGCCGAGTTCACACTGCATGATTTTAGCCCTGATTTTCACTCGCCGACAGGTTTTTCAAAATTTTGAAATCAAAGGCAAATTGGTGCTCGTTCACATGAGTGACAATCACTCAGTGTGAATTATCAAAGACGCGATCTGAGAGAATCGACAACACCCGTGAAATATTTGGCATGCTAAATATCTGGCCCTCCAGGACCGAAGTTGCCCAGGCCTGGTCTGCAGGAAGGTAACCGTCCAGCGTCAGAACTGGTTACCTCTGCCCTGGCCTAAACTGCCTGTGCACTTGTACCTGAGTTCAGAAAATAGACTCCAAAAAATTATTTTCAGAACTGGAATATTCATCCCACTGAATTGTGAGACCCACTGTCCTGCAGAGATTACATCCCAGCCCTCTCAAGCACACTTGTCTGTAATTTTCAAGTATCCCTGAAGACCTTGATTAGCTGGTTCAGTTATGTTAAACTCAGCAGGGAAGTGGGGCTGTTTCTCAATTTTAAGAACGCAAAGACCAGTCGTCAGCCTACCTTGAAAGAACAAACTCTGAAAGAACAGGAGGACTCAAAATGCATCTTTGCGAGAATTAAGATGTGTTGTGATCTTGTTGCTCAACTGACCATCCCAGCACATTCAATTAAAAAAAAAAACCTTTTAAAACTTTGACTTAATCTTTAATGATAAGATCTTTTTATTTTGTCTTGAGTGAGAACAAGAGAAGTTTAAAACTTGGAGGCTTCCATATGTTGTCCACCCCCAAATGACTTAAAGGATTTCTAACTGTTCCGATTCTCTCAAGTCTGCATACATTGTTTTCTCGATATCAAGAACACATCTGGGTAATTTCATGCATCCTTGATATTAGCGTTCTTGAGTATTTGAATTGAACTTCGGAATTTGATAATGATGTAGAATGCATATTAGGAAACATCCTGGGTCTCTAGGAACAGGGTTGAACAAACCCTGTACCAGAAAATTCCAAACAATGTGGTTCTTGAAGGCATAGTTTATACCTGGTATCTGAATTTACAATGTGCCACACTTGATCTGTCACACTACATGTTGATGTTAGTCATACCTTGCTAGTTTTGGTGGAAAAATTGATTGATCGTTTATTTTTATGCTTGGAGGAAACATGGAAATGTTGCTCTGATATTGACCAAATATTGTGGTGTGATTTCAAATGTACATAGTTTTGGCAGTGTCTTCGATTAGCATACAAATGAACACATTCAACCCAAAAGCACAATCACAGCTTTTTGAATAAAGTTTTCTCTTTTCTTCCTTTAGACTGGTTTGGGCTACATTGCTCTGACTCTGTCGATCATGCACACATTCTTCTTTGGCTGGGATTTTGCCTTCCACATTGAGGCATATCCATTCTACATGCCACCAAGCTACTTAGTGGCTGTAGTTCTACCCTGGATTGTTCTGGTGTGCCGTTGCTTCCTTCTTCACCCATGCATCTTCACCAGACTGACAAGAATCCGCCGGGGATGGGAGAGTAAACACAACTGTCCAGTCTTACATCACCACCATGTGGTGACTAATGGAATAGAGGTCTGTGAATGATTACAACAACACCCATGTTCTTGGTGCAATTAAAGACTTATATAAAATGAAGTGTTAAACAGATATACATTTGGCAGTGAAGTGGTCAACACTTTAAAGATGCAGGTCTTAAAAATCTCTCAAGTCGAATGCAAGTGAAAAACATTATAAACCTTGTCCACTTTGTGCGAAGCGCATCTTGGCTGTAAAGTATTTTGAGACTTGCCAAGATCTGACTACTTTAAGTCAGCCTTATCTAAAATGGGAATAATAATGATATGATGAGATTGTCACACTGGCAAATTTGTCTTATCTTCATAAGGGAAAAATAAAAAGATATGATAAGGTAACTTTGATAGAGTCAAGTTAAGTATTCTGATTGGATGTTAGTGTTATTAGGTGCAGTTCGTTCCAGCTGTGATCTTCTGTCAGAGGCACACAGACTAGAGCTCCACTCACATGTACAAAGTACCTCAAGACCTTCAGCTCTATTTCTGTTCACTAGAATATAAAAGCCATCATTAGTGTTATGTTTTTATATCCGAGTCATACACCAATGCATAGACTCAAAACTCAGGTCTGTATCACACAGCTTTCAGCTTAAGTCATATGTACTGAGGTATAAATGTGTTTAACTCATGGCTCAAGTTTTACAATTCTTTGCACTAAAATGACTTAACGTGCCTTGTATTATTACTACAGTATGCCAATATCTCAGATGATCGTCCTCAGGGCCAGTTACTGCGTAAACTCAATTTGCAAACTCCATGAGTACTGAGCACTAATAATGACCAAAATTGCATTTTATGAGTGAAAACTGTTATAAACAAAGCATGTGTGAAATGATTGTTATGTAAAAGTTTAAAAGTAATGTTTGGATGTCGGGTTATTTACACCGATACATAATACAAAATCAAAATGGTCCATTTGTACAGTATGCAATGACTGCACATGTTGCTCTGAAAAATGTTTACTAAACGTTAATACATTTTTAGTTTCACTTTCCAGGTCTGACTGATTGGCTGTCGTCATTGTGGATGTTGTACTGGAAAGAAGTTTTGAATTTAACTTTCAGTCAATCAATATTTTTGGTGTTGTGAAAGCATGATTTATACATTCAACTTTATTTAACAAAACGCAATCAACTTCCAAGGTGTCATTTAAATAAAACAAGATAACTGGTATCGGAGTTGTTGTAAATAAAATACCTAATAACTGGCATTCAAAATGCACAGTTTGGCACAGAAATTCACAGTATTCATACCCAAGAAAATCATTATTCTGTGACAACATAACATCTCCCTTCAAAGTTTGTCAAACGTGTACATCAGAAACTATGCTGAAGGTATTTGAATGGTAAGAATAAATATAAAAATTATAGCTATAAATGAAATTAAAATAGATGTTTCGATCCAACTTGAAGAGATCACTTGCTTGTCACAGCTGAAAAGAAGTGCCTCTGATAATAAATACTCCAAGACCTCTTGAGTTGCATCCTGATTGTCATCACCATTCTGTCTGTGGATTGGCCTTGAACTTTTCATAATCTGCTATTTTGAAGAAGGCAAGTTCTGTCTCATTGGCTGTGAGGAGAAGAAATGTGTTGACATATTGAGATTTCAGCAGGTACAGGTTCAATTTTGCATTCATGTTTTAGTTTTTAAGTGCACATGGGGAAAATTAATTAAACATAAAAATAAAATATTTAGTTTATCATTCTATGAAAATGTACAAATGTAATCTGCATCGAATCTCAACGATCTAAATATTACTTGTACATACCAACACCACATGCTCCTAACCTGCAGCCATCACGAAGAATCAACTTTTCATCATCCTCTAAACTCATTACCAGCTCATTCGTCTGAAATCATGAAAAACAAACATCATTATTAATACTAATTACAATTTTGTTTAAAAAAAAAAAAACATTCATCATGAAAATTAGATTTTTTTTATCAAAATCAAGTGGACATTTCTAAACTTTTGTGAAATAAGTGGAAGTATGAACATGAAAGGAGTACAGCTGAAAAACTTGTTCAAGTGCAGCATTTTATAACCAAATGTAGTCATGTCAATATTAGAAAATTGATGCCACAAGTTGTTGATCTGATTTAAAGTTACCTTTGCTCCATGTGCCTGGTGTATGATTTTCATTGTGTCTGCAACAACACATTAACATGATATGAATGTAATAACTGTTCATCTTATTTATTTGTTTGAAAAATAAGTGCAGACTTACCATAGTCAAACTTCTTAAAGGGTGGAGGCAATCCAGCTCTTGTTGAAACATCTTAAGAGAGAGAAGTGTTTACCATTATTAAGCATTGTTCAATGTTAAGCAAATATCTGATTTACACGATAACCATGTGAACTGTGGTTACAATGAATCTGTTGTCACCATGTCTTACCTTGCTTAACACATGTAATGAACTCCTCCACCGTCTGATCTAAACTAACGTCTTTGTAAACCACCGGTTTAAAGTTGCGATGCTCGAAAGACCGAACCAGACGCACTGTCAGAACCGCCAGATCACACATCTCGAGCCCGATCACATTACAAACTACACGGACTGCAGCGTAGAAAAGTACGCCTAGAGGTAACTAAGCCTAAATCAAATTAAGGATGGCAGAGCAGACGCGACCACTTCACTAGTTTAGCGTACTTCTGTGATTATACTGACGCACTAATTTCGAAGCGTTTACTTCCAGCATGTTCTGAGAAAGAATGCAATTCGAGACCAAAGTAGCCACTAGTCGATCAGGTAACATCAGCAAAAGCAATGGAGCTGCAGAACAATAGATATTCAGCATGTGACTCATTCAACGCGGAAACAAAGTGGTAAAGAAAAATAAATGGCTGTGTCCGAAATCGCCCCCTATACCCTCATTCACTATTCCCTACATTAGGTCACTAATTCAGTTCACTAGAAGGAGTGAATGAAAACGAGTGAGTGAATTCGGACACTGAGTGCACCGGAAGGAATGCCGCTTTTGCATAGTTGGTGCTTGCTGTTTATGAATCATTTGAAACTAGCAAACTAGCAGCTCCAGTAGTAAGATTAGAGGATTTATCTTGAACTCTGTCGCGGAAATTATGTATAAACCCTAATCAAGCAATTTAATAATCGATTTACAATTAATTTATACCCGTGTTGTACATTATGCTGTACGCCATTGATGAGCGCTTTGTAAAAATGAACGGATCGATTATTCAGCTGCGAGCGCCGTCTTCTGGCGAGATGCGGGAATTCATTCGGCGCGTGACTCTCACGGTGCATTATGGGCATTCTCTAGCCGTTGAGCGTGCACCAGTTGTACACTCGTTTTTGCAGTGCTTTGTGGGATTGAATGAGTGCACTCGAGAACGTCCACTATATGGTTTCGGACACCACTAAAAATGGCTGTTCCCTCAAATAGTGCCCTATTTAAGGGTATGGGGGGGATTTCGGATACAGCCGGAGTCTCCACACTGCAAAACAAACCAGGGACGCGGGAAGTAGGGGTGCTGAGGGGGCTGCAGCACCCCGTTTCCACATGGTTGCAAATGCAACGCCAAGTTTGTTCATTTAAATTTATTCAGTTTTAGCATTTAATAATGTATTTGTAATGATCTCTGAAATGTAAATTGTAAGTGGGCTATAATAAACCCATGTTTATCTTTATAAACATGATTAATTTTACTTGTGATGTTTTCTATATGGGATGATTAGCCTAATCATCATGAACACGTGACGCTAGCGCGTGGTATCAGACATGAACTGTACAGAATGAGAACAAGGTTAACTTTAATACAAGGAGATAATGGCGCAAAAGCACATTTCAGATTTTTTTAAATGCCCTTCCCAGCAAAAACTTTCCAAAATCGGCATCCAACACCATCCCCAGCACGAGCACCGACGTAAGTGAACCAGCTCCAGCACGAGCACGGAGACAAGTAAGCCTAGCGGACCCAGCCCACTTTGATCAGCTACTATCGATCATTTCAAAAATGTGATATGCAGTCAAATTTCCCAGTGTGTATGCAACTTAAACGAGTGTTCATATCGACACGGTTGTAGTGCTTTGTGGAGTTGTCAAATGAGGTGACCCCCCCCTTCACCCAGCACCCCCAACCGAAAACATCTTCCCGCGCCTCTGAAACAAACCGTTATGTTTATATACTATGGCTTGAGTTGCCTATGTTTTCGGACTTTTTTAAGCACTATAGTGTAAATGTTTGGCCTATCTCTATTGGCCTATCCCTATTATCCTTGTCAAAAATGGAATGCAAATTAAATATCTATTATCATTTGGACACTATCCAATGGGATAAATTAAAAATCCTCTAAGAATGAAATACAATTGAAAATGGATGATCTTGAGGAAATATGGCGTAGTGCCATGTTTTTGTGTGAGCGGAAGCTTATACATTTCCCAGTGGACTGAAAGAGGGCCTTTCGCACCGCTTTAGTTCCAGAACTAAATGTACAGTACTAAAGTACTGGGACGATTTTGTGTGAACTATTTCCCAGTACCATTTAAAGGGTTGCATTCGGTTAGACCCTGCTCCGGAGTAGGAGCTAATTTGGTTCTCGAAAAAGGCAGTCCGGTACTAAATTCGCACCCAGTTCCGGCGTGGGTAGTTCCACAATTAAAAAAAAGTGGGTAGTTCCACAATTAGTTCTGGTACTATGAAAGGTTTCATATCCTGAATGCTCTGTAAGTTGTCTGCTAAATGCATACATTAAATATATAATAATATTTGTGTTCCAAACATGTCTAAATTGAACAAGCACAAAAACATCAGGTTCCACAAACCTGCAGGCTGTTTTAGTGTGGTTTTTTTACACAGCTAAGGATCAGTTGTTGTGTCCAAACACCCAAATGCAAAATCACTGATAAAAAAAAATCATACAGGTCAGTGTAAAGAACTGTTGCAATGAGTATCTTTTGTTTGAATAATTTAGGGCATCTCTATATTTGCACAATACCCTCAATCTGGCATCAAAAAAAAACGCTTTATATATGTGCTCCTGTGGCTCAGTGGTAGAGCATTGCGTTAGCAGCACAACAGTTTGTGTGTTTGATTCCGAGGGAACACACATAGGGGTAAAAAAAATGCATATCCTGAATGCTCTGTAAGTTGTCTGCTAAATGCATACATTAAATATATAATAATATTTGCGTTCCAAACATGTCTAAATTGAACAAGCACAAAAACATCAGGTTCCACAAACCTGCAGGCTGTTTTAGTGTGGTTTTTTTACACAGCTAAGGATCAGTTGTTGTGTCCAAACACCCAAATGCAAAATCACTGATAAAAAAAATCATACAGGTCAGTGTAAAGAACTGTTGCAATGAGTATCTTTTGTTTGAATAATTTAGGGCATCTCTATATTTGCACAATACCCTCAATCTGGCATCCCTGGCGTGACCCTGTGGCCCAGTTAAAAGAACCTACAATTTCGTGAATTTGATTGGACATATTGCTCAGTACATGCTCCGGCAGCCAATGGAGTGCAAGGGGGCGTGGCCATGTGCGTGGCAGCCGACACTACAGCAATCCTCGGAGAGTCGCGCTGCCATCACAACGGGTTTCAAGCACAACATTATAACAGACTGAAACATCTACAACCATGTCTGAGGTCAGTATGAACAGACAAGACGCTTTTGTTTGATATGACAGCATTTGAGGATTGCAACGTATGATCATATGTGCTGCAATTACAATTCTCGATAAAGAAAGCTACATGGTGCTGTTTTTAATAGTGTTGTGGCATGCACATTTATGTTTGTATTGTCTTGTATTTTCTTACTTTTGTGGATATGGACCTAAGAGTCTGAAATAAAGGAATGGTGAGGATTAGCATTTCCTAAGTCTTGATAATCAATGCTGGTTTACCTCGATCGACAGAAGTTAAAATAAAAAGAAGAAGTCAATGCATGCAGTAAATGACACTGGAGGGCATAAGCTGCATTTAGACCTCAAGAGAGCGCCATGTCTGCGTGGGTGTGGTGTGAATGTAAAGTGCATTATAATATAGAGCTACTGCGCGAGCGTTTGTGTTCCGCTTGCGCTATTTCTGAAACGTTGGTGTTACACGCGCTACTTTATAGAAAGTTTTTACGGTACCTTATATGAATGGTTACCCTCAGAAACGTAGTATACTTGAATTACTTTCTTTTGCAAAACACAAAACAAGATGTTGATAGCCTTACCGTTCTTTTTTAATTTATGCAAAGCGGTAAAAAGTGAAAGGTGATATTTGCTTACCGCCTCCTGTGTTGTTTGCACTGACGAAAGTCATATGATATGAGGTCAATAGACCTAAATGATGACAGAAAATACATTTGAAGTGAAAAATGTCAATGAAAAGCGCTGCGTTCTGTTCAGTTCCGTTACCGTCGTTTCGCTATTGCTCAACAGGACGTTTTGGAAGGTTATTGAATCGACTAAAATGCTTCGATGTTCTTAGATCGTTAGAAGAGATTAGTAAAGTTGTAATTACATTTGTTTTAGTATTACAGCATGCAGACTTGACTGCAACACGTAAAAAATATAATAATAACGCGATATTAATATTAGTTGACAGTTAACGGTTCTTCTCCAAAAAAATACTTGTCAGTTTAAGGTGTGAGAAGTGGGTCAGTATTTAGTCTTTATGCTCTGAAATCTGATAACATGTTGCCATGATAAGACTGAGGTTTACTCGAGCACGATGTGGTTACTGTAACAGGAAGATGGGTTAACAGTCGGTCGATGATGAGGGGCTTAGTGCGCATGTCACGTAATTAAGTCAAAGAATCACAGGCATAGTAAAGTGTGTGAGAGAGAGAGGGATGGAGTTTGGACCCGTGATTAGAGATCTGCTGAAACCCTCTTTATTGAGTGCTGGCCATTGTGCATGGTTACATAATCAGTTCATGTCACCTACCAGCATTATGGAGCAAGACCAAGAATGTATAGCCATGACTAAAATCTTTTCAGTCCTTTTTGTTTAAAATAAGAATGAGGCATGAATGGAGAGGGTTTTACCCTTCTTAATCCGTGTGATTTTTTTGGTATACAGTGCAGAGCGGAGTCTAATTTGGAGGGAAATTCACTAAAAGTGATTAATATTCTGTTCTGATTTAAAGCTCTTTCACACCAAGGACAATATCTCTAACGAGAACTAGTCATGGAGTTAGGATAATTCTTCTAATTCTATGAGAATAGAATCAAGCAACTATAACAGTAACGTGAGTGCTTACGATAAACTGATTGTTAGTGTGGACTTAGCCTGGTTACACCACGAGTTAAGGTTTTTTGAAATTTAGTGTAAAGATGCAATGCCGCATGAAAGCTAGATTAAACTATACCTGCTCAGACCCATCTCAGCCCCTAGCATCAAAGCATATAGTTGTATTTGCTAAGTAAATGCAATTATGCCACCACTGAGCAGCATTAAACAGTCTGCGCAAAGACACCTGAATGCCACTTTAGAAGAGCTTCTGTGCCACCTTTTCAGTGTAAATGTTACATAAATGCATTTATGCCACCTCTGAGCAGCATTAAACAGTCTGTGCAGACACCTGAATGCCACTTTAGAAGAGCTTCTGTGCCACCTTTTCAGTGTAAATGTTGCATAAATGCATTTAAGTCACCTCTGAGCAGCATTAAACAGTCTGTAAAGATGCCTATATTCCACTTCAGAAGCAGCTCTGTGCCATCTTTGCTCTGTAAATGTAATGCAATCTACTTGTCATTATAGTTATCTTTATAGTTATAGTCTTTGGTGTCAGTGGGCCTTTAGTCTTGCAGTTAAAAGAATATCACAAAGTATCACCAGTGTCCCATGAATTGCTTGTCAGAGGTGAAACAAATCTATACCGCCTCTGTTGAATCCATAGCAGCATAGCAAAATAAGTCATGTTGTGAATTTGAGTTGTGAGTTGTGAATTTGGTGAGATGAACGGCTCGCCGTTGATCCAGTTCTTTTAATAAATCATTTAAAAGACTCACACACTCAGGATTGAATCAGTCTGATGAACTCACTCACTGAACTGCAAATTAGCATAACTGTCAGTTCTGTCTCACAATTTTTGTCTACTTAAGAGTTGTGAAACTTAAATCAATATTACTGACTGATTGTCCATCACTGCATGTATTTGTAGAGTGTTCTGTAAACTCATGTTTGTTGGTTTTCCACAGGCTGAGTTTCAGAAAGCAGCAGAGGAGGTCAAACAGCTGAAAGCGAAACCAGCGGACGCTGAGATGCTGGACATTTACAGTCTGTACAAACAGGCCACCGTAGGAGATGTTAACACAGGTGAGCTTTTCCTTATCAAAATTAAAGTGACTAAATAAATGTGACCTACGTTTATCTCTAAATCAAAATTAAAGCAGCGCTTTAAAGAAATGTGTGTGCTTTTCCAGCTCGACCGGGTATGTTAGATTTCACTGGCAAGGCCAAATGGGATGCTTGGGAGGCCAAGAAAGGTCAGTTTCTCCTCCCTACCAGCAGAGGGCAGTGAAATATCATTTTAAGTTTGTGTTTTTACAGCATCTTAACTTACAACACTGTAAATCAGCTCCAAAAGCAGCTCACTCTGTGTGTTTTTCTTCTCCTGCACTTTTCAGGTATGAGTAAGGATGATGCTATGAAAGCATACATCGCGAAGGTAGAAGAGCTGAAGGGGAAATACGGAATCTAATAGACGGAACCTATCATGGCCAGCCTGCCTTTACCTTCCCATAAAGTGCCTTTAGGCCTCCAGTGTGTCCCCTCACAAGGGTGTTAAAGTTATGCAGTAGCATGCAAACTCTGTTCTGTGTGAGAGAATAGGCACATTCCTCGCAGGCCAAAAGAAATCGTCCACCAGTAACCATGTAGTGAATGAAGTCAGATTTATGCAATGCCATAAAATAACTTTTTTCAAAAACCATGTTTGCTTTGTGTTTTCTTACAAACACTGACTTAGAAAAACATGTTGGATTTACCTTAAAAAGTTTGATATGTTTTTTTTTATTTTGAGACCTTAATTGTTTTAAGATGTAGTAGTGCATTATTGGAAAATAGCAATATTCTATACTATAATTGAGTTGTTTTCCTGAGACGGACTTGATAATGTGTCTGGCTGTAATATCAAGTTGAATGGCTTTACTTGTCCATTATTCCTAATGCATCAAATCTGCCTTACTTGTAACATAGCTAGTACTTGATATTATCTACGTCCTATCAGTCATTTGATTGTAGTTAAGAGGTATATGCTCCCGTCACCTGACCAGACATTTACAAACGCACAATGGCATTAAAACTTTTCACTCTAGTTCATTGGGTTTATGTGGTGGATGAGTGTGTAAACATCAACATGAGGTTTTATTTGACCTATGTCCCCATTTCCACAGTTTTCCACAATTTCTATCCCGCCTAATGTCTTCACCTCAGTCTGGAAAGGGCTCAAAGTCTTTTCGAGACTATAAATTGCATAATTATGTTTTGGGTCACAGTCACCCAAAAGGGACTTTGGTCGGTCAATAATTATGATAATCAGCAGTGTAGATAATTAGCCATTTCTGTGAAGAGAAACATTCTTAGTGTTTAAGGTCTACCTTTAGTAATAACTACGTGCCTGATACCAACAACAGATTATTTTACTAATTACTTACTAAACACACTAGTTATACTACAACTAGTGACTATTCATTTTTACTAGTGAAAAGTAGCCATTTTACGATAGCGTTGAGTGAAAAACGGAAAGTATTGTTATATATTAAGAATAATTATTTTAAAAAATGTGTTACCTTAAATGCACTACACTGTATTGATAGCATTCGCTAATTGCGAAGGCACATTTTTATAGCCAACAATTTATGTAAATACAAATTGTACACATTTTTATGCATAATTTGACGATTTTTTCCCCATACATCATGCATTAAATTTGGCTCAAGTTTAGGCTTTATACAGTATTATTATTATAATTTTTTTTATGTATTTATTTAAAAATGCATTTTTTAAATAAAATGCATTTAAAATAAAAATTTAAAATCAAACATGCATAGGCTATCGAAGCTGATTTACTCTTTAATTAGATGATATTTTTAAAATAAATAACAAGTCTACTTTTTATCGATGGGTTTTCGTAGTGAGTGCATATGAATTCTATATTAGGCCCTATGCATATTATAATGCATATTATAACGTTTCCAATTGTTTACCTTCCTATAGCAAACATAAGAAAAAAATCGAAATAGCTGATTTACTCTTTAATTAGATGCTATTTTGTAATAAATATTTAGTTTTATCGATGGGTTTTCGTAGTGAATGCATTCTGTTATGCATATTATAAAGAATGCATATTATAAACCTTCCAAGACAGTTATGTTACCTTCATAGCAAACATAAAGAAAATTAGTAAAAAAAAAAAAACCCTAGGACAAAATGCCCAAATTTGAAGAAACTCCTTATAGACATAATATCTGATTCCTAGTTACCGAAAACCTCCGTGACCGGAAAACTAACGCGAAGCGCCCGTGATCTGCGTGTCTAAGGGGCAAGACGGGACGGGCGGGTTTGAAGACTGAACTACTTTTGCTGATCGACGTCAGTTAATGTTATACTAAAATTATACTGTACTTTCGACTGGAGTTGACTTGGCTTCTTCGTCTCGCTTCTCCTGGTCTCTGGGCTTTAAGGCACGTTGAAATCAATATGACGGCAATACAAATCAGGGTAATGCCTTTTAAATGTTTATTTGACGTTTATGTTATTCTTTAGAGTGGAATCTTTCATTTACTGGGAATGAAAATGCAAGATAAACGACTTAATATTTAATAACGCAAGTTCGACAGCGCCAAGACTTGGACAAGAAAATATACAACAAAATGAGGCGTTGTTTACATGGTTGTGAGAAGGGAAACGTTTGTTATTTAGGCTACAGAAATCATTTTTTTATAATAGCCTATTCTTATTAAACTACATATTTAAAAAGTTAAATAGATTTAAAACACTTGAATTGTACAGCAGTCTTAGCAGTTTCCAGTCTTTAGAAATGGCAAAACATATGTGCCTGCAGCAGAATCTCATATTGATACAGATCTGGATCAGATTTCTTCTGAAAACTCTGTTTCTCTCTAGGTTGGGGCCGTTCCATGTGGGAAGTCCACTCCTCTTTTTTTAGACTTATTTTGCCGCAGTCTTATTATACTGTGTACATTTCTGTCTGTCATCCTCTCGTCAATTGCAGTGTGTGATGGTCACTGGCTGCTCACCGGCCGCCATATGTTCGGCCTGTGGTATTTCTGCTCACTGGAGGAGCAGCAGGGCTCTGTGTTGGGGTCCCAGAGTTTTAAAGCATCCTCTAACTGCACTAGACATCTGGAGGAGGCAGGGGTGGATGGTCTGGGTGTGGGCTTGCCGGCGTGTCGTTCTGTGATTGCTCTGGCTGTGGTCAGTGCCATATTTGGACTGGAGTTGCTTGTGATGTCACAGGCCAGCGAAGGGAGGGACTCCAGTCAACGCTGGACCTTCGGGGCACGGCTGGTGCTGCTGGCGGGGGTAATGGCTGCCGGAGGAATTGCAACTTTTGTCCTCCTGTTAGGAGCATTTGCAACGCTCCTTGGGTTTACTCTCACCTTCTGGTGTCAGTTCACTGCCACCTTCCTGTTCTTCCTCAATGGAATGGCAGCGCGGCACATCCAGCATATTGAACCGCTGCTGCCCTTTAGTGGACATTCTGACAAACTGTAGAAATAAGGCCGGCACTAACAATAAACTCTAAAACTTGGAAAAGCTCAATTAGAAGCTGCTGTTGGTTCATCTTGAGCAGTTCTGTATCTGCATTCTTTTGAATTTGAAGATTTATAAATAATGATTTATAAATAGTGAACTTTCTAAAAAGGTCCCAAAAAGGCCCAATGCATCAACATTAATATGAAGCAATTAATTTTGCATTTTCATTTATCACAGGTGTTATTTTAAATTACACTTTGCATTGTGTTGTGTTTTAGGGTTGAAGGAAATGTCTGTAAGCTTGACAGAAAATATCCTGTCAGAAAATTACTGAAGGCCTGGTGTGCAAAAAAATTTTTTTACTAGTTTGTTTGGTTGTATTTTATTTATTTTTCAATCATTAATAATGCTTTCACAGCAGATTGTTTCATTCTATCATTTTTATTTTTGTCATTAATTTTTCATTTGATTTCATGTAATTAATATTATTGATGACCAGCAGCTGACAACTGACTCCAGTTTCATCTGTGAACAATGCATCTTTACAGTTAATTTAATAAAGAATAACAGTTTATTTAATAAAGAATTCTCACTTTTACATCATTAAACAGACTTTCACAGTATTTTAGTATGTTCTTAAATATACACGGGGATCAGTTAATTTAATAACAAGATTTTTCTTTTCTTTACATTTTTTGTGTTTTACAACTCACAATATTTCACAGGACAATACATGGATAATAGGTGTTCAAGGCATCATCATCAATTTTTACACACAGATATACAAGGGGATGAAAAAAAATATAAAGGGGTCAAAATGTCTTTTTTAAAATATGTTTCTTGAGGTTCACTTATGAAGGTTATTTATTTTATTTTTAATGAAAAAACTATTTAATTTTTTTTGCTAAACGTGATGTTTCTCACCTCCCAAAATGCTCGATTTTTATGCTCAGCTTGCTTTAAGGGTGTGTTTACACTTGGCAGGTTTGGTTTGATTAAAGCGAACTCTGGTATGATTGCTCTGTTAGTGCGGTTCATTTGTATAAGTGTGAACACTGCCATCAAAACCTTGGTGCACATCAAACGAGTGGCCCAAGACCCACCTTTCCAGGGTTCTTGGTCCACTTCGAAACAAAGGAAACTTCCAAATACCCACACTTGTGGTCTTGGCCACTTGAGAGCACGTGCACACAACAGGAAGTAAGTGCTCAAGACTGTTCCAGACACAGGGTGCGTTCCAAACTGGATATATCACCCTCCAAAGGGCACTTCGGAGTGAAAATAATCATGGCCGCCATATTGAAGGATCGTTCCAAACCAAAGTACTCAAAACTGGCCACTTCAAAGAGCCCTTCGGAATGAAGGATTTCGAAGGGTACAACTGATGGACACTTCGGGCCCCCATGATCCTTTGCGCTGATTCTTCCCATGATGACGGCGCCTCCGTGTGGGCACGGGATGATTTTGCGGAAGGGCACTTCAAGAAACAGTTGTTTGGTCCCCTACACCCTTCAACCCTACAACCCTTCGAAGCTCTCACTCCGGAGGGTATTAGGGCATAGAGATGAGCCCTTCCGAATGGAAAGCAGGGACAGATATAACTAGATGCCCTATTGGCGGCTGTTTCTATGGGCCACTTTTTTTAAACTGTCTGCCATATTGGAATGGCCAAATCATGTCCATCAACACTTGAGAGCAAGTTTCCTGTGTGTCTGCAAATGCCAAGTTCTGTCATGAAACTCTAGTTGGCGCAGGCTGATGGGTCGTTAACGCAAACTGATGATATTAACAGCGTTAAACTACTTGGCACAAGCTTATTGGTTTATGCTCCATACGCAGCCAGCTAGCTTGCTGCTTTACATTTAACTGGCTGGTTAGCAACCACTAGAGCATTTCACAGTGTGCTTTCAGAGTTCCTCAGACTTCCCCAGCTCCATCTTTACAGATCTGCTATGGATTATTACCTATATATGCTATTTGTGCAGCAGCATGTCTTAAATACTCACAGCACCATATCTGTGTATGTAATGGCAGTAGCAAGTTCCTGAAATTGCTTTGCAGCAGCAGCAATAATCTACTACAGCAGCAGTAGCAGCACAGCAGATCTATTCTGCCAAGACCAAATACATTAACACATATCCATTACCATGCTAAAATCTTCTGAGAGGTGTCATTGCCTCACCTACACATGCTTGTGTCTTCACACCCATTTAAACACTTGGGTCAAAAACAGGAAATACGTCATGAAAGTAGACAAGTGGTCAAGTGAAAAGACCGCAAGTGTGGGTATTTGGACAGGCCCTTGGATGGGCCCGGTTGCGGTTCGACCAAAAGACATCTAAACGAACTAAAAACAGGATGTGATGTCCTGAGATGTGAAAAAGGTACAGTAACTGGTTATTTTCATCATAGGAGCAATGTTGCCCTTTACAGTTCAGTCCAAGCATCAAAACTGCCAGGTCCTTATAGCAGATCTCCATGTGTTCAGAGGAGGAATCACTGCCACTGTTTTGACTTCTTTACACATTCCATATGTTCTTTGTGAGTTATAACCAGGTAAAAATACCACTATACGTACACATGTAAAATGAGCACATTTAGCCCAGTAAACAGCAGCTGTTTTAGATGTTCAGTAAGTTCATTTATTTTTATTTTATGGTCTGGACCAAAAGAACCAAACTACAAGTGTATACACTCCATAAGACTTTTCAGAAACAGCCATTGTTCTGATTAGCCAACGTCATTACATCTCATTCCTCAGATGCTTCTCATTTCTTAAATAGTGAGGAAACGAGGACACACAATTTAGGAAATGAGACGCGCCTCTTGTCACCTCGCTGCTCACCACTTCTGGGCGGCTATGGAAAGGTAAATTTGGTGTTGATGTTTAGATGTGGATGCAAATGTCTGTTAAAGTGTGACATTGCAGTGTGGATAGAGTAGGAAAAAAAATTCTCTTTTACAGGGAGGAGGAATTTTTGTGGTCTAAAAAGTACTTTACATATGGTAAAATAAGCTCTTATGTCAAAAGATCAAAGACAATTTTATTCTTCCAAGTCATGACCTCTTTAAATAGTATCACATATTGTGCTGTCCCTACCTAATATTGATGTTTTCTCATATATATAATAAGTTACTTTCACTGCATACAGGCATTTGTTTCATAATAACTATAACACCATTAAGAACAGGCAGATACAAGACAATTACAATAATTTTCATAAATTGTTTGTTATGGCTTGTTTGTTTTAGTTAATCTGAGGGATTGTGTCGTTTTAATGGACTGTGCATGATTTTAGCTGTTGGATTGTGGTTCGAGTGATCTGAGGTGGCGTTGGGTGCTTGTGGTCAGGTGATCTGTGTGCTGGGACGTGTCAGAAGTGAGACCTGTGTCAGCGGCAGGCCACTGTTACTCAGGGAGCCGTGATGCACCCTGGGGTCACCATGGAAGCGCTGCTTCAGGCGCCACCGTCGCCATCGTCTTTGGGCTTCATATTGTACCTGTGGAAAGTTAAAGGTCAATAGGTGTTAAGACTGACCCGTGAAACATAAAATAGAACTGTTCTGCTTCTTATGCCTCGAGCAGGATCCAATAATGACAAGTGAGTCTAAAATGTGCAGGAAATGTGTGATGTATTAAACGCAGACTTTCCCTGGAAAGCATAATCTAAGATAATTTCATTCGAATTTCAATTTTTTTTTTTATTCACTCACCTCTCCATTCAAAAAACAGTACAGCAGAGCCACAATAAAGCCCTGTAATATCAAATGCAACATGAAACAGAAGCAAAAGGCAAAGTGGATAATTTTATAAAGCCAGAGAGAGTATAAATAACAAAAACAATGCCCAATAAATGTAATCTACAATGTTTGGGATTCATTATTGCATATTTTTTCCCGTTAAATCTGCTGTACCTGCGAACATACAGTACACCCACATAACGCTGTATATCTATATACTATATAGCAAACCTCGGCTGCCTGATTGTTTATCATTGCAAAAATGTAAACTGTATTATTGCACAGCTCTATATATGAACTTGGATATATAAGGAATCTAACTTCATCCGCATCACGTAAAGCAATATATGCAATACAGCAATTCTCAGCTGCATGATTGTTTATATTGTTGCAAAAATGTAAACTGTTTTATCACACAGATCAATGTATAAAGTAGGGTATATATTAAAGGGGTCATATGATGCGATTTCAAGTTTTCCTTTCTCTTTGGAGTGTTACAAACTCTTGGTGCATAAAGAAGATCTGTAAAGTTGCAAAGACTAAAGTCTCAAATCCAAAGAGACATTCTTTATAAAAGTTAAGAGTCAGCCACGCCTACCTAAAACGGCTCGTTCTAACACGCCCCCACATATCTACCTCACTATGTGGAAATATTAGCATAATGCGCCCAAATGTGCATGCAAAGAAAGAAGGCATGGTTTCAGGACCAGCAGTCGTGTTAATGCAGCCATGTCAGGGAGACGCTGTGTGTTTCAGTGCGAAAGCAAAAGCACTTTATTTGGCCTTCCGGAAGTAGATGCAATTAGGAATCATTGGTTAAGATTTATTTACAACAGAACAGCACAACCCAGATGTTCAAGCTTGTGCAACGCATTTTATGGATGACAGTTTTTTGAACCTAGAAGAGTACAAGGCTGGCTGTGCACAAAGGCTATTTCAAAAAAAAAAAAAAGGTCTATTCCGACTTTGCTATGGCAATCTGGCGCTTCTGAATCAGCGACTGTAAGTATGTTTTGTTATCAGTTTAAGTATTTGCTATTGACTGTTCAAATGCGGAGTTTTGCGCATCGCAGAGTAACGTGTTTTTTGTGTGTGTGTGTGTGTGTGAGTGTGTGTGAGGGGAACAGGGTCACATCACAGGAGAGTGAACTGTCTGTCAGAAATCATAGCACGTCAGCTGTCTTAACCGCGGCTTGTGTACTGCATCATCACTGTGTCTGTCACGCGACTCTGTTCCCCTTTCGGGCTTGAACTGATGGTAAAACTAACGCCATTATTAACTGTCTTGATATTTACTTTGAAAGCTGACGCTCGCGATTATGGTAAGGGGTGTTACATTTCCGACACGTGCTTGTGGTGGTCGGCCAATCACAATGCACTGGGTCAGCTGGCCAATCAGAGCAGACTGCGCTTGTCGGAAGGAGGGACTTTGTAGAAAACGAAGTGTTTGAGAGACGCGGGGCATAGAGGACCTACAATAATGTACAGTATTTGAAAAAGAATGTGTTTTTTGAACATTAAAGCATGTCAACATATTCTGTTACACCAAATACACAAAATAATGATCTTTAAAATAACATCATATGACCTCTTTAAATCTAAATTCATCCACATCCATAAAGGGATATACATTATATAACAAAACTCAACTGTCTGTTTTTTATTATTTTGTTGCAAAATGTAACCATAATATCCCCCAGCTCTTTATATAAAGTTGGAAATGTAAATATATCCAACTTTATCAGCATACATAGCCTACACTATATTCATGTAAAGCAATATATACTATACAGAAAATATCAACTGCCAGATTTTTTTTACCCAAAATGTATGTATAAATGAATAAAATGTTTATCCACATATACAGTATACTCACGTAGGACGATGTAAATACTATATACTATAGCATATCTCAACTACTCGATTGCTCATGTCATCGCAAAATGTCAATTATACTATCGGTCAGCTCTAGTCTGCTAAATGTGCCATAAGGCATGAAGATATTATAAACATTAACATCATTAACTTCTGTAAAGCTACTTTGAAACAATGTGTGTTGTGAGAAACGCTATACAAATAAATGTGCTGTGACTGCTCCTGTGCGTATGTGTTTGTATAAAGAGATGTTGAATTGTATATCATCACCTGTGTGGATGCAAATGCTAGCTCAATGACATTCCAGATTTTGAAGGTTAGCATGCTCACTCTATCAGGGAAAAAGGCGAAGAGCACATATTGCAGCCCAAACAGCGACACTAAAAGAAATGTAGATTTCGCCAGCTTCCTACACCATAAGAAAAGAGGATGATGGGTAAGAGTTCTGCATCTGTTTTATGCACTCATTTATTTTTCAATCATACGAAGCTGCGTTTGTTCAACTGGAGTATGTAATTTCTGTGACCCAAGCCGTACCCAACAAAAGAGCTAAATTTATTTCCCATTAAAAATGCACATTATTTTTGTCACAGTCATTATTTTTGCAATTTTGTTTGTTACTGCTAGTGACCTCAAATGTGTTATTATCTCTCACCTGTGATGATTGACGTCATTTCTATGCATGTCAGGAGCTTTCAGTTTTGCCACTAATGTCTGAATAATACTCAGAAAAAACAGCATGTTTACCTGAAAAACAGTTCCCTTGAGATAATTAAAAAGACTATTCATTGTTCTACAAACTGTTGGATATTTCAAAAATATTATAAACATGGAACGACAGTATTATGAATAATTCTTTAAAAAAAAGCAAAAAAACATTGCAAGCAGAGCCATTTGAAAGTAAAAGCACTGTTTAAATGTGAGAGAATAGGCCAGAAGCTGGCCGAATCAAACTAGAACTGGAAAGTTTGCTTACTGTGATAAAAATGATGACTGGAACTCGCAGTATCCACCATATCCAGCCATGATCTCTCGTCTCCCAGCATCTGACAGCACATATACACAACATACTGTGTGTTCTCATGCACAGTCATGCAGGTTTAAAATAGCCTCTCTTACATAATACAAATATAATAAATAATCTTTTGTTGTCGTCCAAAGGAGGCTGGTATAAACAAAGAAAGTCCCTCGAGAGATCAGACTGAGCTTAAAAGAGTCCAACTCTCAACTTTAACCCACTCTGAAACTGATTTGTCAATGCTTGTGAACGTACCCTTCATCCTGATGCAGGTATTTGGCCAAACTCCAGCTAATAATAATGAGCATCGGGATCCCTGTGGGAACAAAATGAAGCTTTAATTGTATATCTGGAATATGCATTCCCTTCCCTTCAATTCGTGCTCATGCAAATTATTTGGTCTTTTACTGTTCAAGTTTGGCTCTAATCAAACAGAAAAAATTCACGTTTTGGTAATTCGGTTGAAGTTTAGAAGAACATAAGCTTAAATTGTTTTTACTTAAATTATGTATTGTTTATAATTTACTTGTTTTTAAATAATCAAAACAGACCCCTTTGATTTCGACATCATAAGCTGTTGCTCATCTTTATGCTCTGAATTAAATAATTACACCTATTTAAAGTCATAGACCACACAAAAATAAAATTGTCATGTCATTCCAAACTTCTATGAGTCTCTTTCTTCGGCAGAACACAAAATAAGATATTTTGAAGAACGTTGATAATAATAACAGTTCCTGTTCACCAAGAGGGTCTGTTTTGTATTTTTGTCTCCATATGCAAATGTTATTTATGTACATATATTAAAATTCCATATATTAAATACTTTGCCAGGCATACGTAAGCCAAACCTAAAACATGTTGATATTTAGCAAATATAAAAGACAGACATGCATTATTGTATATTTCTTTACAAAACATATAACTATAAAGATTTATATGAAGATTTATTTTTTTGTATACATGTTGTTTTAATAAAGTTGTATATTATATAAATAAAATATATATTATTGACAAATTCTTTACAATTTTTTAATTATTTACAATTAATCCAGAACGAGGCAGCAAGATTAATTTTTAATGAGCCTAAAGAATGCACATCATACAACACGTGTTTATCAATTTGCACTGTCTACCAATAGCTGTTCGCATAAAACTCAAGGCATTAATGTTTGCTTACAAAACCATCACTTACGTGCCCTCTAGAAGCTTGCATTCTGCAAATGAACGTCGCTTTATTGTTCATCCCAAAGAGGCACAAAATCACTTTCACAGACTTTTACATTAAATGTTCCCTCCTGGTGGAATGACCTGCCCAACTCAATCTGAGCAGCTGAGTCCTTAACCATCTTCAAGAAACGACTAAAAACACATCTCTCCCATATTTGACCCTCTAACTCTAGCACTCTCTATTTTAATTCTATTCTTAAAAAAAAAAAAAAAACTAACATTAGTCCTAATGTCACTGATTTACATAACAAAATATCATGGCGTGTCATTTGTGCTAAACGGTACTAGAGCTTTTCTCAGAACTAAGTCAAAGGCTTTTAATCTGCTGGTGTTTTGTAGATTGTTTAGTGGATATGTGTGAAATCAGTTCTCCTTTAAGGGGTCATGAACAGCCTTTGTTTTTTTATGTTGTACTGTTCCCTGAGGTCCACTTATAATGTTATCAAGATTTTTACATCAAAAAACATAATTTATAACTAAAGGGCTATATTCTGTCCTGTTTTTGACCCCCCTCATCAGAACGCTCTGTTTGAATAGGCATGGTGGCAGATTGTAGATTTAAGGAAGTAAACACCCACTGCTGTGATTGGCTAATCTACATTAATCTACATTCCTCATAGATGGACGCTGCTGAAGAGACAACGCTTACAAAAATTAACCATGGTTTGTGTGAAATCAGATTTAAGGAAGTAAACGCCCACTGCTGTGATTGGCTAATCTACATTAATCTACATTCCTCATAGATGGACGCTGCCATGGTGGCAGATTGTAGATTTAAGGAAGTAAACACCCACTGCTGTGATTGGCTAATCTACATTAATCTACATTCCTCATAGATGGACGCTGCTGAAGAGACAACGCTTACAAAAATTAACCATGGTTTTATTATAGTAAAAGTGTATAAAACATTTTTTTTATTAACATTTGCATAACCACAGTTTTACTACAAATACCATGGTTAAACTATGGCTAGTGTAGCAAGACCATGTTTAATTTATGGTTACCATGGTTTTACTATAGTAACCATGTTTTTTTTTTTTTTTGTAGTAAAACCATGGTTAATTTTCTTAAGGGAAAGCAATAGTGACCACCTAAAGGAAACAGTTACTCACACTTGTGTGTTGCAACATGCCTGTTGGATCCAGTATAGTCGGCACATCATCGTCTTTTAGTTTCAATCTTCTTGAAAATTCCACGTCAAATTGTGCCTTTTTTGTAAACGAATCCACGGTAAAATTAAGTGAACAAAGGACCGAGTTATTACTGATGCAGTCTGGATCCTCATTAAAAATAAAGTCCATCCACTCTTTCCTAGCGTAGGGATCAGAAGGAAGGCAATAAAAGACTGTTTTTGCACAACTTGGCACTGCACAGCATCTTATTGTCTTCAGAGCCATCTTTATCATTTGGTTTCTGCATAGACCTGCACGTTCGCCTCTCTGGTAAACACTACATGCGCAGATCGGTGGGCGGGGCTAAACAGGCAGCAATGTAGAAGCAGACACTGATCTTCTTCTGTGGAGGCGGAGTTTAGCCACACTATTACATCATAGAGTAGAACATTAATCGGTGGGCGGGGCTAAACAGGCAGCAATGTAGAAGCAGACACTGATCTTCTTCTGTGGAGGCGGAGTTTAGTCACACTATTACATCATAGAGTAGAACATTCTACAAGTTGTCCTTTTGGCAGACTGGATTCAATATAAGCTGTTTTTAGACTAACGACAAAGTTTTGAGTTCTGAAACTTACAGGATGTTTTAATAGTATAATGGTATATGTTATATAACTCTTATATGTCAAAAAATCAAGGGAATTTTGCTTTCTCAATTCATGACCCCTTTAAGTTCACACAGGTATTCAAGCAGAGGAACCACACACTCAAAAATAAATGTTCCAAAAGGGGGTTTTGCTATGCAGGTGACATAGAATATCCTTTCAGTGAACAGTGCTTCAAAGAACCATTTTATTCTTAGTGTAAAGAACATTTTATTAATCTAAAGAACCTTTTGTGCAATGGAAAGGTTCAATAGAATTTAAAGGTTCTTCATGGAACCGTAGATGCCAATAAAGAACCTTTATATTTAAGAGTGCAGATGCAGAGAATGACATTAAAGGGGTCATATGATGCGATTTCAATTTTTCCTTTCTATTCGGAGTGTTACAAGCTCTTGGTGCATAAAGAAGATCTGTAAAGTTGCAAAGACTAAAGTCTCAACCTCAAAGTTAAGAGTCACCCACACCTACCTAAAACGTCTCGTTCTAACACGCCCCCACATGTCTACGTCACGATGTGGGAAGATTTGCATAACACCGCCCAAATGTTCACGCAAAGAAAGAAGGCGTAACTTTTATTGTCGCTGTAGTATTGTTGTTGCCGCCGCCATGTCGTGAAGGCGCTGTGTGTTTCGTTGTGAAAGTGAAACTACTTTGTTTGGTCTTCCAAAAGAGGACGATATCCGCTTCGTCATGTCTGGAGCTGATCCGTGCTGGTCGCTGAGGAAATACATCAACTTTGCGCTGTGGATCGCCGGATCGGCTTTCACTGTGGACGAAGCAGAGTCCAGCCCGGGGTCGTCACATGTGGTTGCCGCAAGCCTGCCGGCCACTCCGTTCTCAAGCCCGCCCGCCTCCGCTCACTCTAGCCCGGCCTCCGCTCACTCTATGGTCATCACAGTATGGTAAGGGGCGTAACATTTCCGTCACACGCTTGAGGTATTCGGGCCAATCACAACGCACTGGATAGCTGGCCAATCAGAGCACACCTCGCTTTTCAGACCGATGAGCTTTGTAAAAATCGACGCGTTTCAGAAAGGCGGGGCATAGAGGAGAAACAATAATGTACAGTATGTGGAAAATAATGTTTTTTTAAACCTTAAACCACATAAACACATTTCATTACACCAAATACACAAAATAATGTTATTTTTAGCAACATCATATGACCCCTTTTACAATCAAAATGATCAACTAACATCTGACAACCACAAAGTGTCACAATACTTTCAGGAGAAAGGACCCTACCCCAGCCAAGTAGGATGTACCAGTGCAGGCGTTTCTTCTGTGAACGCAGTGAGAGGTTAATGAGGCTGTGCAGATAATGTCCTTCCACCAGCAGCCAGCTGTAATTTGCCAGGATGCAGTAATTAGACAGGAACAGTGCCACTTTACAGCCAGGCTGAGGGAAACCCCGGAAACACAACAGCTCAGAGAGCTTATCTGTACATTTATTTATGATGTATATGTAGAATATAATGCATTTATGTGCGTGTGTTGTGTGGTTGTTTATGTGTACCGGATGAGAGTTGCAGTGGTAGTACTCCTGTGAGTAATGCAGTGCAGCATCTCTGATGAAGATGAAGATGGCTCTCAGGATGAAGGACAAAAAAAGCTGCATGTGAATAAAATTACGAGTACAGCGCAGCTTCCTGGAGGAGGGATGGGGGTTGGGATGGAGAGAAATTTCGAGAGAGGATGAGGCTTTTTAAACGAATAAAACGCAATGTGTGTAAATTAAGTATGGCATGTGGGGTTGTTCTAAACTAGACATTTTCTAAACTTATCTGAATGTAAACATCAAAACGTTAAACATCTTTATCATCACAAAGCCAGCCTGTACAAAGTAACTGCAGTGTGGAACTTGGAACACAAAAGGCAGAATTCTTTGGCTGATGTCACAGTTTAGCAGAGCGATGCTTTAGGCTTAGACAAATTCGCTACGATGTCGGGATACTTTCCATCTTCCATGTTCTTGCTCAGAATGACAGCTATTTTAATTTTAACTTCTTTTTAGATGATTTACAATTGTTATCACTTACAGAACAAGCACTGGAGGACAGTTTCTCTGTGCTTCAGGATTTCTGTGAGAGCTGCAGAGTGTTGCTTATAAAAATTAATGGAATGGTTTATGTGTGTTTAACATGAACTGTAATTTCCTATATTTTGTTGATGTGAAAGTTTGTGTGAGTGTAATATTCCTATTTGTTCTTTATTAGTGGTGTATCCTAAGGCGAGAATCTTTAGTATTGTGCATATTTAAAGGTACTCCACTATCCCAAAATGCATAACTCAAATCACAGTTTGATCTATGAACATGTATGATATCTCAAATCATGCAGCTTGTTACTTTTCTAAGAGACTATACTTATTTTTGTTTAGTAGCATAAAAACCAGGCAAAATAAGATATAGACTCAGAATTATGTTTTTTTTTCCCCTCACAATTCTGGATTTACATCTCATAATTTGAAATATTTTCTCAGAATCTCAGAATTTGCATATTAGGCTTAAATTGCCGTTGAATAAAGTCTTTTTTTTTTCTTTGCACACAAATAGTATTCTCGTAGCTTCATAAAATTAAGGTTGAACCACTGATGCCACGGACTATTTTAATGATGTCCTTATTAGCTGCGTTGCTGTCAATGTAGGGTCAGAAAGCTCTCAGATTTCATCAAAAATATCTTAATTTGAGTTCCGAAGATGAATGAAGGTCTTACGGATTTGGAACGACATGAGGGTGAGTAATTAATGACAGAATTTTCATTTTTGGGTGAACTATCCCTTTAAAGGACGTTGAAGGAGGAACTTAAGCCATATTTAAAGATCAGTTTCCATCCAAAGGTGTGAATTTAACTTCGAATATCACATAAAACATTCGCAAATAAAGCACCATTTTCATCCATTTAAAGAGAAACTGAAACTCACCTATACTTCTCTCAAATCATTGAGCTTGTGTAAAACAAAGAAAACAAATAGTGTAGGCTCTCAGCCTTCTCGGTTTCCTTGAGCTTGTGGCGCGGTCACAAAAATGAACCGGAACTCAGTGTAGACATGTTGCACAGGTTTTTATTTGGTTTTGTTAATACAGTATGTTAATTATTTAAGTAAAATATATTTCGTTTAGGACTATTTATTTTATTCCTTTATATGTTGTTTTAATCTGTTTTAATAATGTTTGTGCTGCTGTTTGCACCCCCCGCAGTGCTTGCCTGTCTGCTACGCCAGTACGTTTCCATCCAAAGTTAAGAATTAAACTTATGTGCAAAATTGGAGTAACGCATAAAACATTTGTAAATAAAGCACAGTTTCCATAGTGAGTTGAAGAGAACAAAATCGTCACTTCCTGATTAATTTGCGCAAAATATCACAAAGAAAAATTACATTTGCTGCAGTAGGAGAAGGCCTATATGATCATTTTTGTATAAAATAAATTACAAGCTTCAGAGCGCGCAGACGAAACGCGGTCATGTTATCTTATTTTCAGAGCCTGCCGTTTGGGAACGCAAATCTGGGAGTTAATTATAATGAAGCACTTTGACGAGACTTCGCTCAAGCATTTTAGAATGACAAAACTAGCATTTCAGATGCTTTGCAATGAGATCGGTCCATTGGTTGGTCCAGTTATGCTGTCCCATTGATGCACATTAAGGAATTTATTCAGTAAAAGTGTTTCCATCGAAGTTTATGCACGTTTTCTTACCGGATAAGAATTTTAACCTACTCAATTGAGCGCATTTTTAGAATTTATGCGCATCTTGGCGTTTCCATCCAGCCTTTTTCATGGAATATATCAAAATGTGCAAAAGAAAAAATAGGTGCATGGAAACACTGAGTTATTAGCTTCCTGTTAATTTACTGTTGTAGAGATGGTCCTTTGAGCTAAATGATTTGTTTGGCAATATTTAACTCAATGAGTACAATGAATGTTTTTCATTCTCAATAGTAAGTTTGCTCGTGATCATTGCAACGGGCCTGCTTTTTGGGAACACAGTCATGAAAGATGGTTCTGGGAGGTAATTACACCAAAAAACTTTGACGATCGACTTTGGCTCAGGCATTTCAGAATGACCAAAACAACATTTCAGATGCTGTGCAATGAGATCGGTCCACTGGTTGGTCCAGTTACGCCGTCCCATCTCACAAAGACACATGATTTTTTTTATGCGCATCGGTAAATGTGTTTCCATCATAGTTTATGTGCATGTTTTCAGTTGTGCACTTTTATGTGTATGTGCATCTTGGCATTTCCATTCAGCGTTTTTTTTATGTATTTAATATCCCAAAATGCACAAAAATAGGTGGATGGAAACATAGCTATTGAAACTTAGAGGCGGAGACTCTTTTTACTAGAACACCTTAGCAACTTCAGCAAGTTTTTTTGTTTGCTGCTCAGTGTTATTATTACACTTTATATGCTCATAATGTGAATAATCAAACATACACACACACACAGTCTGTTACCTGAACACACACAACACTGTGAGGGCAATGCTGAGTGAGACAAGAGAGATGGCATATCCCGCAGAATACATAATCTTCACATAAAAGAAATACTCATGTGAGACCTCCTAAGAGAAGAGACAGATCAATTTACATTATGTAGCATTCAAATTTTTCATATATTTATTGTGTTTCCATGTTACTGGTTCAGTGAAATGAAGATCGGAAGCTATTGTTGCGCTGTTGTCCCTTGTACATGCATTTACTCGTTTTCTTTCTTTAACTTGTAATCTGCCCTTAGTGAAATTTCATGTTTGTTAGTTTTTCTGAAAGAATATAGAAATAAAACATAATATGATTTTTGATAGTACCGAGTCAATGGGAATTTGAAAGCTGTCGTTGAGCCCATGGCCACAGGCGAGTTCGTACGGGGGAAAGACTTCAGACCAGCCATTCTCAGTGCAGTTTTTCATCACCGCTCCTGTGGACAACAGACATGAGACAAACAACAGACAGCACAATTACAGCCCCGTCCAACAGTTTATCCCTGAGAACCACCCAGAGTACTCTTCACTGTAAAATTCTTAATATATAAAATATAAGTCCATAATCATATACGGCTCCAATAATCAGTGATTTTGTTGTTCATTAACTCTATAAATAAAGCTGCTTTATCATAGTTGCTACATGAATATCTAATTTATCAAGACTTTGCTTGAAAAGCCTGTTGCTCACAATTTACTCATGCCTCCTGTCATCTGATTGCTAGTTCAGATTTTTTTAGCAAGTAAAAGGCCTTTTAGTATAATTGTAAAAACATTCCCCTTTAGGTCATGGTTAATTTGCTGGAACGTAAACTTAAGGATAACTTTTATACTGTTTGTAGTATTTCAAGATGAACACTTACTGGACTGAAGCAACTAAGGTTTACTTGATTATTCATGCATATGTTTTTTATATTAAGATGAATCAAATATGATCCATCAGCTTTTAAGGAATTTGTTTTATTTGTTCATCTCTTAATCATCATTGTATTTCATTGCATTATTTTACCCCCACAATAAAACTAAGCATTGAAATATCATCTTACTAAGACATACTTTTGGAAGATATAGCATGACAGCTGATATTTAAATGCATTTAATGTAAGTAGTTTGATATACTGTTAGAGATCTCGTTGATTTACATTACACGCTATCTGTAACGAGACATCAACAGAGTGAGGATCCATCTGCAGCTTTATTGAAATCGTAATCAAACAGGCAAGGTCAGACACCAGCAAACACAACAGTGGAGAGAAGCCAAATCGTAGTCAGGTACGTGCAAAAAGGGTCGGGGCAGGCAGCAAACAATCAGTAGTCAATCGTAAGTGTATGTGAGCTTGATTCCAGATGTTCCAGTCATTAACAGCAGGTACTTCAGTGGGTTCTCCTGACCATGGAAATAATGGTGGTTGGAAACCCATTATGAATTGAAACGGCGTGAGTCCAGTAGAGGGTTTCTGTAGTGAATTTTGAGCATACTCTGCCCACATGAGGTAACGGCTCCAGTCAGTCTGATTCTGTTGGCAGTATGATCTGAGGAATCATGTGATCTCCTGATTGAGTCATTCTGTCTGGCCATTGGATTGTGGATGGTATCCTGAGGTGAGGCTGATGTTGACATTAAGTTTTTGAAAGAAAGCTGACCATACTCTGGAGGTGAATTGGGGCCCTCGATCCGACACGATGTCCTCAGGGAGCCCATAGAAGCGAAACACAAAGTTGCATAAGGATTCAGCTGTTTCGAAAGCTGTGGGTAGTTTGGGGAGAGGAATTAACCGACAGGCCTTGGAAAAACGGTCTATGACGGTGAGTATTGTGGTGTTGTTATTGGACTTGGGGAGGTCAGTGATGAAGTCAATAGCCAGATGGGACCATGGTCGGTGGGGAACTGGTAAGGGGTGCAACAAGCCGGATGGTAGGTGTCTGGGGGATTTACTTTCGTTACAGATGATGCAACCGTGGATAAAGTCTATAGTATCAGTCCTCATGGTTGGCCACCGGAATTTGTTCTGGAGGAGATGGAGAGTGGCCGTAATCCCAGGATGACCAGAGCTGAGCCCCGAGTGAATGTGTTGCATGACCCTTTCACAGAGTTCCTGAGGAACAAAGATCTTATCAGGAGGGCATTCGGGAGGGGAGATTTCTTGTGAATTGGCCTGTTCAAGCTCTGTCATGATGTCCCACTGGACGGGGGCCACAATCAATGATTCAGGGAGAAGGCTTTCCTCAGAGTTACTAGGATCTAGGCAGTCGTGTTGACGTGTCAAAGAATCCGCCTTGGTATTCCTGGAACCAGGTCGATATGTGACCGAGAAATCGAAGCGTGTAAAGAACAGCGCCCATCGGGCCTGTCTGGGGTTTAGTCTTTTAGCAGATCGTAGATATTCCAGATTCTTGTGATCCATCAGGACAACGAAGGGGTGCTTTGATCCCTCTAGCCAGTGTCGCCATTCCTCCATAGCTGCCTTCATAGCCAACAATTCCCGGTTACCAACATCATAGTTTTGTTCAGCAGAACTGAGCTTGCGAGAAAAGTAGGCACAAGGGTGAAGCTTAGGTGGGGTACCATGCCGCTGTGAGAGAATGGCCCCGATGCCAGTATTTGAGGCATCCACCTCGACTATGAACGGGATTTCAGGATCAGGGTGATGAAGAATGG